ATAATAATCTCAAATCCTGAATAAACTAAGCTTTATTCAAGATTTAATTTTTTTTTAATTTGGCAAGGACCTCCGTAGCCATCTCCTGTAAAGCTGAGATAATACCTGCCCAGATGCCGCGGCATGGGCACTGTTTAAGGAACACAGAGCAGAGCTGTTAATGCTCCATCCTCCCAACTTCCCTGTGTCCACACCACTCCCCCGAGACCACCCTCTAATTCCTGACTCCACCCCGGGCTCCTGCTCTGGGTGTCAGGGGACTTGGTTTGGTTTGTGCAGCTCTAACACTGTCCAGCAGGAGCTGAGCTCTCCTGTGACTCATTGCTTGAGCATGTCTTTGTTCACTCAGCGTTTCCCTCTAAAAACAGATCCTGATTTTATAAGCTGTTAGAAGCCTGAAGATCCAGCACTACGCTAACATGTTGTTAGGCACAATTATCCCCTTTCTGACAAAGGATTCCTGATTAGGGCTGTTGCATATTCATCGGTAGACTTGCCAAGCCTTGCTTTGTTTTTCAAGGTCGAGGATTGCATTTCTTTGGATTCAATTCCCACCCTAGACGTAGATTACAAGGCAGGCGAGGAGGAGGCAGCTGAGGTTGCTGGAAGCTTTAATCCTCCTGGTATTGCTCAAAACACTCACCAGTCGTGTGCCAGGCTTGCCATGTGAACCAGCTGCCCTTCCTGCTTGGTTAGGTGAGCTCAGCCTCAAAACTGAGCCTGGCTGCAGCTGTGACATGCTGAAATAAGAGTGGGAAACCCCTCGGATTCCCAGGTGTAAAGGGTGAGTGCTGGGCAGGGATTTCAGCCCAAAACACGCTCCCAGCACTGAAGGCTTCATGAGGTCCAGTTCAACATCCTCCTTGAAGGACCAGTCCCATTGGCTGCCATGGGAGAGGGGACAAAAGGGGGACTTAGGCAGGATGGAATATTTCACAGAGGAACTTCAGCTGGTCTCCCCTGATGATTCCAGCATTGGAAAAAAAAAAAAAAAAAGAGGAGAAAAAAAAAAAAGGAAGAAAAGGAAAAAATAATTACTTCTCAGCCTCTAACCTTTCCAGCAAGTGACTTTGTAATAAATAATCCACATGTCTCTCCAGTGCAATCCATCAGCAGGAGTGCCTAATTACTTTAGACTCACTTTGAAAACCCTTCCAGTGACACTTTCAGATAAATAAAAAATTAACGTGGAACTAAAGCAGTAACCCAGAGAAAGTTTCTCCACTTCTCTCAGTCTCCCCAAGTCTGGGCTGATGCCTGGAAGGCTCCATGCCCAGGGATGTTTTTCCCTGTCATGCTGAGAGGTGAGTGTGGGTTGCAGCTCATGGGTAATCAGCCATGGAGTGTCCATGGGGACACCCTACTCCAGACATGCAGGTGCTTGGAGAAATACCTGGAGACAGAGCAGTGCAGCTTCTGCCTATGAAGAATGTTTTTCCTTAATCCTTCCCTCTGGAAGTTTCTACTCTTTGTTTTTAAGAGCGCATTTTGGAAGAAGGCAGCTCCAATTTCCTTCTTGGAGCTGTTCATTGATCCCCAGTCATGCTGTCTGCTGGGTCTCCCTTTTCTCTCTCAGTCCCAAGATTACAGCTGTGACGAAAGGCACCTCTAGGCTTGCCTTAAGTGTGTATCTTCTGGGATTTCACCATTTGTACCCCACACCCACCCCACCAAGGCTGAGACACATCTGCTGGGTGATTTCTGCACTGATTCTGCACCTCATGTCTTTGGCAGCTGAAGGTTGGAGCCTTCTAAGAAGACCTTGTCCAATATCTTCTTCCTCATCTTCACACCCCACTTCTGCATTCCCTTCTTTCTCTTCTTTCATCTCTGCTTAGAGCCTTGGGCAATACCCAACAAGCGTTCAGAAACTAAAAAAACAAGCAAACCCAAAGAAACAAAATTAAATATCTGAGAAAAGCAGGCCCAGAACCAATAAGTTCTGATTTCACTGTAGGTTACTGCAGCCGAGGCAGTCATCTGTCAGGGGAGGAGGATGCTTTAAAAACCTCCACAGGAGAATTAATTAAACGAATTTCACTCTGCCAATTGTTTGTTATTTTTGCTGACCTCACCAAGTGGATTAATATTTAATTAGCCTTTAGGAGAAGTGGAAAGCACTTATTAACCTGTTATGTCAATCTGTCAGGCCTGGGGTCTCAGGACAGGCACTGCTACTGTGAAACAATAGAAATATCAAGGTCTGTTTCTTTCCATCTCAGCTGTTTTCCCTGTTGGAAAGTGGCTTTTTGGGGGGAAGAGAGGGAGGGAACCCACTATGCCTAGCTGAGGGGGTCTCTAAAAGTGAATGTCACAAATGTAGGTGTGTTTTAGAGGCCAGAGCAAGAGCTAAGGAAGCCATATGTGCTGTCCCAGGTGCAGGTGGGAAGCACATATGGATATATTATCCCCTTGGAGGTATTTTAGAACTCAGGCTAGATCTCATTTGGTGTGATGCCGGTGACTATGGGGAAAGGTTTGGCCTTTCCTTCATTTTTCTTGCTTAAAGCACTGCTTCCTTTATACTGTGTGTACAGTTATCATGGTTTAAGAAGTGCTAAACTTGGTGTTGACACATCCTCATCAGTGGGGAGGTGCACAGAGGTCTCGGGTGAGCCTCCATGAAAGGAAAGCTCTAAAGCAGAAAACAGGATGAACACAGATGGCAGAACAAGAAACCCATCCCCACTGGCAGCAAGGAGCAGCAGGTCCCTGTCCAGCATCTGAGCTCACACAAAGCTGGTGAGTCCCACCCTGGGATAATGACCACGTCTGCTTGTCACAGGGTCTGGGTCTGGCCCAAAAGAAATAAAACCTCAAGCACAATTAAACCCTGAGGAAACATCCTCAGCAAACAGTGACATTAATGCTGTGCGCAGGTTGGTGGGGCTGGGAGGGGCATGGAAGGAGATGATGGCTGAAGTGCTGAAGTGGATGAGTATTTTTGGTGGGAATTCTCCCAGATGTTGGGCACGGCCACAGTCTGACATCTTCACTTGCTGCCCAGAGAGGAGCCAAAGTGTCTTCTCCAAACATCCCCAAATCCTGATGGCCCTGATCATCACACACAGCTTTGAGTTTGATCTGGTGAATCAAAACTAAAGCCAAAGTTAAAATCACTCACTGGGTGTCAGTCTATTCAAAATCTCACCAGAAAACCCAAGCAGCATCCACACTCTGGATTTGCTGTCTAGGAAGAACACCAAAGAAATGCCAACCTCCACAAGAGCCAACCTCCCCTCAGAGGTGCCTCAGCAGACAGCAAAAATGACAAACCATGATCAGGACAATACTGTTGGCAGTGGGCAGGGGCTCCTGAGTGCCTTCCAGTCTCTGTACAAAGAGGCAAAATGAGCAAGCAGAGTGCCTGGAGATGAGCCCTGGGCGTGTGGCATCACACGGGCTGCCAAGGGTCACACTCCCCTCCCTGCAATCTGTGCCAGCTCTCCCAAGCTCAGTCTGAGCCTGGCTGTGTCCTGCTCATCCCACAGGGCAGGGACAGGGACAGGGACAGGGACACTGCCTGCAGAGCCCTCCTGCCCAGACTGGGTGCCCTCACTTCCACTCAGTGACAGCCCTTATCATTTATTATTATTATTATTATTATTTTTTCAAAATGAAAATCCTCCTGAGCTTTATTAAACAGGGATGCTGATAGGTAATTAAATCGCAACTTAATTAAATCTGCCGGCTCAATCCAAGCACGGCGCGCTGGCTACTCTGCAATAATCCCTGGGAGAGGAGCTGTCGGTGCAGGAGAGCACTGTGAATGAAACAGCACCATGCCTGGCACTGCCACTCCCTGCCAGGCCCAGGGCAAGGCACCCAGAGGCTTTTCCACACCTCCAGCAGCCCCTTGCAACAGGGGAGCTGTTTGGATTGCAGATACCATCCTGCCCTGCACCATGGAGGAGCTGACCTGCCTCTGTTAGAGCTTTTCAGGTAGAGGCTGATTCCTTCCTACCCAGGACACCATGCAATCCCCCAGGAGGTCATAGAAGAAAACCTAAAAAACCAAAAACCTAAAAAAAGAAAAAGAAAAAAACCAAAAAACAAAAAGACCTTGAAGGGCATCAATATCTAATGAAAGGCAAAACCCCAAAGAGATGGACAAACCACCAGGAGCCTACTCAAGGGTGACTTTCGTGCAGAAATCTTGGGAGATCAAATTCCTAATCTGCTTTCACCTCAGAGACAGAGGAGTGAAAGTCCTGTGGGATTAATGTTTAATGCTTGACTGGGCAGGTGATGCCCTGTGTCAGGATGCTTGGGTTCCTGCTCTGCTCTGACAGGGCCTGGCACCTGAGCTCAGGCACCATCCACCCCGGATATTGGGGATGACCCTGCTCCCAGGCAGAGGTCATGGAGGGGTTTCCAAGTTCAGGATTCCCCCCATCACTCCAAAGCATTGTTCACTGGGGCTGCAATAACAGATGGGTTGTCCTGTCTCTCTCTGCTGGGCCGTGTGAAACTTCAAACCTCCTAATTCTTTTAGAGCCACTGGGGTGAACTGCTGGAACGTGGCTTTGGGCAGGGCAGTTGTGAGAAAAGGCAGCTCATTCCCACTGCTGGGCTTGCATTTCTGCTCTTGGTGGAGGCACATGGGGCAGGGAAGTGCTCTGCTGAAGCCCACACATGTCAGCCTCACCTTCTGTGCTGCCCACTGGGAAGGACAGGGATTGAGGGAGAAATGGGTCAGCTGCAGGGGGACACAGCCTGTGGGACAATAAAAGACCTTAATGAAGATAGAGGCAGACTCCAGGACACACAGACAAGCAGCTATAAACCTCTGAAACAAGGGTCATGTTAACAGTGCCACCTGTGGAGAAGGCTTTATTTTCTCTTCTCTACTACCAGTAGACTTTCTTCCTCAGGACTACACAGCTTTATTTTGAGGGTCTGCTTTGAAGGCTAGACATCCACAGAATGAGGTCAGGTTTCCAAAAATATACTACAAAAGTTCCCAAACCCTTAACTCTGGGGCAACAACTCACCTTCAAGTAATGAATGGCTAGCAAGTTCTCAGAGCAGGATTTCTTTTTTATTAGTAGCTATAGGTGACCTGATTTTAGCTTCTCCAGGAATGCAATGGGAGGTACCAGAAGGTCTTCTCTGAGTAGGTGTCCTACTGTGCTCTGAAGTTCTGGGATACTGATGCTGCACCTTCTTCTATCTCTTGAGAATAGATGTGTGCAGAGTAGCTCAGACCCCTAAATAATAAGACAGAGAAGTTAGTTAAGAGGCAGTAGATGTTTTCTGAACTTCACAGCCAAAAGCCTTCTTGAAAACAGGGTGTTCACTCCCACTTTTGGAATAAGAAAGTTCTGATCTGTGTCATAATGTCACCATTGCCCTATCACATGAGAGCAAATCTATCAAATCCTGATCCAAGAGTCTGGACAATTAGGGTTTAGGTCCAGAAAAGAACCCACATTTTGCACTGCAGGCCTTCTCTTCTCTGACAGTTTTTTTAATATTCTTTCATGTGTCCCAGGTGGTGCTGGGACATGTCAGACCACAGGGCAGCTGGATATTATAGGACAAACCACAGGTAATTTGGTAGGAGAACATTAAAAAGCAAGAGGAGGAAACTATAAATTCAGAGTGTAACCACCATAAAGTATTCCCTTAATTCCCAGCCAACCTCTTAAAAGCACAGATAGCTCTTCCCCCTACCCACAGGATGCCTTTCCCTCTCTGTAGGGTGTCATGTTATGGCTCAGACAACAGAACACCATGGGAACAGTGACCCTGATGGGTTTCACATGTGTTGCAAGACCTGGTGGAGACTCTGCCCTTTCCCATGCTGGGCTTCCCTTCTGCAGTATCAAAGGTTTGTCCTCTCATGGCCCTGCTTCATTTCTCCCTCTGCTGAAGGGCTTCATCTCATCCTTTATCTTCTCATAGGTAAAGATGGACCATCTGCCTTTAGAGGTGGGAATGCACCATAACCCTGAGTTCTAAACAGGCTGTAAATCCCATGGCAACATCTAGGGACATTTCTGAGGCTCCTTTCTGAGAAAGTAACACAGAGGAGCCATCAAAACCTTGTCTCATCTCCTTCTTGTGTCTTCCCAGGGCTGTGCCCCCCGGAGAAGCTGCATGTGAGGCTGAGTTCTGCTTCCAGACAAAGCGTCCAAACTTTACTACAAGCAGTTCATGGAACTGTTCCTTCCACTTAACTAGAGCTGAAATTCTTCCACCTAAAAACCACTGGTGTCTAAATCACATTTTCATTAAGCAGGCATGTATAAACCCAAATCTCATAGATTTCCCTTCCAAATTATTACCCTAACAAAGGCATTTCCCCCCAGCTAGACCAGTATCTTCTCATTTGCACTTTCTCTCCATTTACCTCCTTTCTGGTTATCTTTTAACCAAAGATCATTGCCAGATTCTTATTCTTGGTCATGCTTTAAGGGCCTCTGAGGAGGAACAGGAAATACTCTGACCACTTCCATCTCATTTCAGCTGGTCACATCCCTTTCCCTGTCCCATGCAGAACCAAACCAGTGCTCTCCTGTGTTTCAGGCACATCTGCCTGGCCCTGTGACCATGGAGTCAAGTGCACAGCAACCAGTGGTTGGGAAATTAGCAATATTTCTTGTGAACTTCATAGTATGAAACAGAAAATGAGTTTCTGAAGGAAATTGATGGAAATCTGTTTGTAGTCTTGCTTCAAAAAGAAATGATAAGTAGCAACTTAAAAATGACACAAAAGGAGCCGCATTGGAATTAATTTTTAAAAGGCCCCTTTTTAAGAGAAATTTGAAAGATTTTTGCAAGAAAACACTCCACTGATCTGGCCATCTTATCTCACTCACTGAATATGACTGGTGAGTGTTCCATTTCTGCTTCAGAGCCTATTTATCTCCACTGCTGCCCTTAAAGGCAAGTACCTCTGATGAGGATTTAGTTCTAGTGCCAATTGTTGAAGAGGAAAACACATTCAAAGTTTTCTTGTGAATATATAGATGTTTTAAACCTAGTCATGTAGCTGAGACAAGTTTTCTGACACCAAAATTAGCTAAAGAGTTGAGCATGTGCAGGGAAGAGCAGAAGAATTAAAAAAGTCAGGGAAGACTAAACAGAATGGGACTTTTTGAAAGCCTCTGAAACAGTTGAAGCTAAGCATGAAGGAGCAGAAGGATACTAGTGCAAGGAAAATGGAGTATAACACAAGAAATGCTGATGGGAAGTAAGAAATGGGACTGTCAGACTATGGGGAAGGTAAAGACAGAGAGAAAGGGAGTGAGATCAAATGGATGGAGTAGCCAGACACAAGAAAACAAAGAGTAAACCTGGTATTTTTTATCTTTGGAAAGCAACAAAGCATTTGCTTTCTGCAAAGCTGGTTTTGAATGTAGGCATGTTGCAGAAGAGCAAGAGAAGATTTAAGAGAAGAGAGTATGTCTGAGTGCTGCCAGTAAAGTGGTGGAATGCTACATGAATGTTCTCCACTTAGGAATTTCTGGGTCTTCAGGTTCCAAATTGTGTTGGGGCCATGTATTTCACCTTAGCTGGTGTCACCTGCAGCCATCAATGATTTTGGTGTTGTGGAGCCTCTAAACCAGCTGCAGACAGCAAGGATTGCCCTGTGTGAGGAGCACAATATCCCACAGACCTTGAGAAAGCACAGAGGCCTCCCAGCTGCCCTTGTGCATGAAGCATGCTCCTTCCCCAAGGCCAATCCCAAGGGAAACAGCCAGGAGGAGCTCCGGAAGGTCAGAATGCAATTAAAACCAATGAGATTTCCTTAATGGGTGCATTAAGATAGGAAAATGGCTCTGCCTCTTGGGTCATGCCTCTCCTACCCACTCCAACCATCCCAGCCTCTCCCAAGTGTCCTCTCCTACCCTATTGCTCATCCTCGTGCCTCTTCTCATTCAGAACACCTGCCCCTCTGATGTCCAGGTTCCAGTGATTGGGGGGACACTTGGGTGAATGAGTAAGTCCTGAGGGGAGGGGATATACACCTCCTGTTGCCCTTGCAATGAATTACCGGGGCTGTTAATGGGCTGGTGCCCCAGTGCCTCGTAAATCGTGCGACTGGGGCCGAGCAGTGACGGGCGGCTTTGATCTGGACACGCCGCCCTGCCATGGACAGGAAAAGGAAGAGGTGATTTTTCATGGGTTACTACTCCTGCCTCCAAGTTTTCCACTCTGCTGAAACTTTGACAGTGCTTAATAATCCATCAATGAAGCTTTCCTTGCTCTGCTTCCACTCCATTACCGCCTTCGTGTTCCCATTTAGCTTCTTTCACACGGACCCCGGAAAAGCTGGCAGTCTCCCACCATTCCAAAGCAGTTTGGAGGGTGGGAGCAAGGGCTGGGGTCGCTCCACACACTTCTTCTGAGGAGAGGAATCAAAAGGTGGATGCTGAGATGAAGGGAAAGGGTTACGTCATGTCTACAAAGCTGGGAAGAAACTCATTGATGAAACCTTTAAGGAACTCTGAAAAGCAAAACAAGGCTGGAATGTCAGTTGGTGTGAGAGGGTTGGATCTCCTAGGGTTCATTTGAGACACTCTGGAGATCTGCCATGCTGGGAGAACATGGGTTTTCTACAGGTCTCTTGTCACATCTTCCAGCCATGCCTGGTGTCTTGGATACTTTAAGATGTCTCAAGTAATGCAATCCATTTGGGCACCTGAGCAGAGTCTTTTGTCACCTCCTTTTCCACCAAGGGCTGCTGTTCAGATTTATTCTCTAGGCTCATCATTTCTCTTGACTGTCCCTTCCTTCCATCTCCTATAGATTAGACTGAGAGAGTCCATGCATTCAATTTTGTGTGTTCTGCCTTCTGAATGGAACTGAATCCTCAGCACTGCACTGTTTTCTTAGACTAATGAATTCTTTGAGGGGAGTAAAAACCACCTTGGTAATAAATCCAGACTGTGAAGCCTTGATGTATCTGTTTTTCTCTTCGTCTCCACTGCTGCTAGACAGAATTAGCCCTCACCTAATACAGAGTGCAGACTTGATACAACCTTGTTTAGCACAATTGGTTCGAATCCATTATATTGACAATATCAATTTGTGTAATTCCTGCATTAGGATTTTGTACTAAACTGTATTTGAAAGGAGCTGTTGACCTTGATTAGCTCTTTAATTGTGGTTAAAATCCAAAGTAATTCAGATATCAGCTTGGCTGTGGGAGGAAAGGGCCGTGCCACGTGAGAGTGCAGTCAATAACTCCACGTTCCCCATGGACACATCTCCCCTGCTTTATGGGCTCTGGGGCTCACCACTTCCACAGTGCATCCATTTGCCTCCACTTTGACCATACCCTTGGGGCTTCCCCTCTCAAGAGCGTGTTGTAGGAGCAAGCACTCCTGGTCTCCTGGACACATTCCAGCTGAATTATCCCTGTGGCTCACACAACCGCTGCTTCTGCATGCAGGTGGGATCTTTTCCTTCACTCTCCATCCTAAACAGGACTGTAGCAAGGCTGGGAACTGCACAAGGGCTGCTCAGAAAGGGATAGGAAAGGGCCTGTCAACAAAGCTGAATTTTGGTGGCAAATATTGCCTGACTTCCTTAATGGGAGAAAGAAAAAGAAGAGCATGATCAGTGCACGTTAAGAAGTCCACACCTGCCTTTCAGAGGCCAGGTGTCTGCAGGGGATGTGGAATGGTGTTATGGCACCCTGGAGAAGGTATGGGCAGGCCTGCTGGCACCAAGCTCCTACCAAAACTCACCAGGGGATGTGGAATGGTGTTTGGTGCATCCTGGAGAAGGGATGGGCAGGCCTGCTGGCACCAAGCTCCTACCAAAACTCATCAGGGGATGTGGAATGGTGTTATGGGCACCCTGGAGAAGGGATGGACAGGCCTGCTGGCACCAAGCTCCTACCAAAACGCAGCAAGAGCTGGGTGCCTCACTCTCTCAGGCCTGCAGAAGATCAGCTGTGTGCCCTGAGGTCTGTGCTGGTGCAAGTGTTCTGTGTGAAAAAATGCCAGGCAGGAGGAAAGGCCATTTCCAGGACTCCCATGTGCTGAAAGGGAAAATGGATGGGATGAAGCCTGAAGGGGGGGAACCCTTTTAAGTCAATGAGGAATTCTGCCAGAAAACAGCAGAAGGAGCAGTTCAGCAGGAATTACAGAGAAGAAAAAAAAATCTGGCAAGAGATACAGCCTGGAAGATAGAGCACTTCATTTTGGGCAAACTGAATGTTTCAATTAAAAATGACAGAGCTGCGATCCTTTAA